ATCATAGTTTTAGATTGAAGATTAAAACTTTGATTTCAATGGAATTATTAAATTTTAATTCTAATTTAAATTAATTATAAAATAGCTTTTGAAAATGACAGTAATTTTTCAAATATTTTATTTTAATATTTTAATGTGAATTTATTTATTTTTTTCAGAAGTAAAGGTTGCATGCCAGTGTCAAACACATTTAGGCCGATTATTTGTAGACAAAGTATATCCCCTAACAATACAACAACTCTTTGCCATTCTCTTTTCACCGACACCGTGGTATCAACATTTGGAAGAAATTGTCAGCAAAACAAGTAAACATATCTGTTTAATTTGAATTTTGAAAATCGACTAATGAATAATTTAATATTTGAATTTGAAAAATTTAGCAAATATTCAAGTTTTCTCATTCATTTTCCGTATTTTAATTATGGGAACAATGAAATGCATTAATTTTTCGGCTCAAAATTTCAGTACATGGAAGAATGTTGAACATCGTAAGTGGTAAGCAATTTTCTTTTCTTTGCATTCCGAATTTTTAATTTTAACCTTTTTTATTCATTTCAGTTTTGTTCTGTTTTAGTTTCAATTTTGAATGATTTTATTGAATATTATGTTACCATTAGCAGATAATTATTTTTCATATCATATCTATCCTTTTTTCTCGAATGCTTTTTTCTATCATTTGATGTCATTCATACGTCATCGATTAATAACATAATCTACTGACAGGTTACGTGGCGACCTCGTGGATAACAGAAAATCCAACCGTTACCACACGAACAGTAACTTACAATATGGCATTAAATAATACGTTAGGTCCAAAGAGTACATCGGTTACTGAAAAACAGGTTATTCATTTCAAATCTTTTCATTTTTCATTAATTTCAATAAAAATTATTTCACTTAAAAAATTTCAAGTTCAATTTTTTTTTTCTTGTTTCATCCATTCTGCCCTTCTTTTATTCCAATAAAATAAGCCGAATGAAAGATGTAAACAATTAATAGCAATTATTTTATTTACATCTATATTGCTTCTTGTGCTATCAAACGTCATCCACGTTGTCGTCTCCGTTCCTTCTTCATACTATCAAACGTCATCTACGTTTTTCTTTTCTATACTATCAAACGTCTCTACGTTGTTCCTTTTACATCAAACATCACCTCTGTTTCTCCTCTATGCCACCAAAGTCATCTCTGTTTCTCCTCCATATTATTAAACGTCATCTACGTTCTGCTCTATACCATTAAACGTCAACTACGTTGTTCCTCATACATCAAACGTCACATACGTTCTTCCCTCATACTGTCAACCGTCATGTAATATGTCACCTTTTTCATTATATTTCAGACATGTTATGCGTTTCGTTGTGCCGATGATGGATTCAGCGTGATGAAAGAGATTCACAATGCAGGCGTGCCGTGCGCTGATAATTTCATCATTCAATGTACTTATTGTGTAATTCGAACAGATCACACACATTCCAGATTACTTGTACACGGTGCAATGGTGCAAAAGAAAAGTATTTGGGGTATTGTTAAAGGTAAATGTTTTAATTTCATTTTAAATAATAACTAACGTTAGCACAAGAAAGAAATCATTTAGGAAAGGAATAGTATAATTATCGTAATTATATACTATTTCTCTTTTATTTATTGATATAAAAATATCTTAAGTAATGTACAAGTGACATCATTAACTTTTTTTTTTTCGCTTTATATATTCAGT